AAAGTGATAATCGCATCGCTGCTATTGGACCAATTCAAGAATCTCTTCAACAAGAATTATCAAATGTCAAAGAAAATATTGAAAGTACAGAGTTTACAACTCACGATGGTATGAAAACATGGAAAGTGGATAATATTTCAGAAAAAATGGCTGCTGCACAATCAGAAAGACAAAATTCTGTTTATTCTCAACCATTCTATTCATCACCGGCAGGATATAAAATGAGAGCACGTCTGTATTTAAATGGTGATGGAAATGCTCGTCGAACACACATGTCACTCTTTTTTGCCTTAATGAAAGGTGAATATGATTCAATATTAAAATGGCCATTTAATCATAAGGTAACATTTTGTTTACTCGATCAATCTGGACAAAATCAACATGTAATAGATTCATTTCGTCCAGATATAAAATCAACTAGTTTTCAACGTCCAACATCAGAAATGAATATTGCATCGGGTATTCCAAATTTTTTTCCATTACCAATGATTCAACAAGATGATAATAATTATGTTAAAGATGATACAATGTTCATTAAAATAATTGTTGATTTTGCTGATGTACCAAAATCAATTTTACCATTTATATTTAATCTCAATCCTGGTCTACCATCCCATGTTCAACAATGTTTAATTAATGAAGAAATTCAAAAACACGATACTTCTAATAAATAATGTTATTCAAAGATTTCCTTCAATTCCATTAATGTCCAGTAATTGCAGTTAGACGAGTAAAATTTCAAATGTTTGATGGTAAAAATTGGATTAAGTTTTATTTTATATTTAGTCCTTGATTGCTATCAATTGAACGTTCTACAATATGCGTGTTAATTTGATAAAGCATGAAATTTATCATGACTCTTATGTATTCTGCAAAGAAAATTGAACACATTGCTCAGGTTTTCTGCAGATAGGCAACTATTGGGGTCGGTTTAGTTTCATGAATAACATGTCGTTATGTTAATCACAGAAATTGATAAGTGATAAGTCTATTCTGTTTTCGTTAAATCGTGTTGAAAAAGAAAAATATTTGATGAGTTTAAAGCTTTTTGTAAAACTAATTTTTGCTTCTATATTTTGCTTCTCCGTACTTTGAACTTGTTTGAAGTACTTTTTATATACATGTTGTTATCGTGTTATTGCTGGTTTACATCGTTTTATTCTGTAGATTAGATTATTATATAGAATAGTTTTATTTTATGAGCAATATTTCTACTAAAATGCTTTTATATTAGTTTTAGAGAAGACAAACTAGGTTTTCTGATATGTTCATTTTTTTTGTAATAGCATTAGTTGTGTTTGGTTATTTTTTAATGAACTATTATCAGTTATGATTATTTCTAACAGAGTTCTCTAGGCTGTTATCTAATGTTAATCAATTTTGGGCTTTTAATAAATGTCTTACTTTATTCTAGTCTCCTCATTCAAGAAGAATTATTGTAAACAAACATGTTTCAACTTGCTTAATTATTTTATCTTAGTGACATTATTGCCTTTGAATTGAGAAAAAGATTGTCACTTTGATTTATCTTGAATTGGACAATTCATATTAACTCTACACACAGTTTGGTTTAATATTTAGTATTTAGCTCAGAAGATAGAGAATTTAATTCTCTAGGAAACTGTCGATTTTATTTTGAAATTAAGTTTCAACCATCACTGTGGAAATAAAAATAGTAAAATGTTACGTTATGAAAATTGATTACCTATGTAATTGAGTTCTTAGCATATCTGAATGAAAAAAGATTTATTAATCAAAACCCAATACACCACTAAATTCAGCGCGAGATTCTGTGCATATTATTAAATCGTATCGAGGTCAAGAGCAGAAGAGAAATGATAAGGCCAACAGATCATGTCTAATGTTTTGTATCTCCTGATCAAGAACGATAATTCAACCAGTAGCTGTTTTGCATTCATTTCTCTATCCAGAAACCATCCCTTGAGCGTGTCAAATCAGTGTTAAAAAGCTGTTGTATTTTCTGATTGCTTTGGAGTCAATGCTTCAGCACCAAGTTGCATTGTAATGCGTTAAGCGTGTGGGCGGGTGAGACGTTCATCGTTGCAGCCGCAGGGGAAGCTGTACCAGTCTGACGAGAACCAATAATCGTCGTAATGATAAAAATACCTATATCTCTTTCAGTGATCTTTTACTGAACATAAGGAATCTTTTCCTTTTCGATGTTTTCCTCTCTTTTTATCGATATTTTCCTTTTCGACATTTTTCCATTCGACGTTTTTCACCAAAGCCTTGCGAGGAAGGCGTTCACAAAAGCAAATGCTGATATTAAGTAAAAGACAGCAAGGAAGAAAATCACCAGTAACAGTTCTAGGCTTCGGTCTTCAATCCCTACGTCGGGCAACGATGCGGCCATTAGGTAAAAACCATATAGCAAAAATTTAGTCGGAAAAGCACCACAGCTTGAGAAATAGAGCCCCCGTTACGAAATTTAACAAAGTTAAAAGAGAAAATGAAGCATATTCTTAATTTAGACCCTTTCAATTGTCGGTAAGTGAACACATTTGTCAGCTTGGATCTATATACGTGGAGAAGTACAATTAGTTTTCAAACTAACTAATATTTTCTAGAGGTATGATAGAAGTAATGAGTTCCAATGTTTTCCAAGTTTCATTCACACTCAAACTTTGTAAATATCTTCATATGTCTCTGTTATACTTGTACAGACAGCACAAGTGTTCCTGGAACATACAAAATGATTCCTCCAAACCCTTGGTTTTTCCTGCAAAATCAGTTTTTCTGAGACCAGGAGCATTTATAAGAAAAACTAAACTACATTTAGAATCAGCGCACGAAACTGCATCTAATAATGTACAACTCGACTCTTTTTCCATGCCAAAGACGAAAAATCTTGTGTTCTTCCCCTATACTTGAAAAGCGTTAAAAGATCTTTTTTTCAAAAAATAATCTCGCCGCCGTCCACGTCTTCGTTAGACACATTCAATGCACTAATAATACACCATACACACCTTACGCTTTTTCACAGCTTCTGCAATTGCTTTTGCCTCTGCATCTGATATATTGTTGTTCTGAATACCAAGAACTATTAATGTTTGGTTTGTTTTCAAGGCTTCTGCAATTACTTTTGCCCCTGCATCTGATATATTGTTGTTTACAATACCAAGATGTGTTAATGTTTGGTTTGTTTTCAAGGCTTCTGCAATTGCTTTTGCCCCTGCATCTGATATATTGTTGTTCTCAATATTAAGCTCTGTTAATGTTTGGTTTGTTTTCAAGGCTTCTGCAATTGCTTTTGCCCCTGCATCTGATATATTGTTGCTGGCAACATCAAGAATTGTTGTGTCATTAGACCTTAATTTTTCTAAAACTTTGTTCTCTTCGTTGGATAGTTTTGTCGGATATGCTTCCGATACACTTGATGTTTTCAATTGGGTTCCAGCTGGTGGTGGCTTGGCCGGAGATAACGATGAGAATTGAAGCTTTGAATAACCTGAAGAGAGAGCAAATGGAGCTTGAAGGCAGACATGCGAAGTCCTTATTTCTCTAGCATGAATACTGTGTGAGTTTTGCAGATCATGCTTTACTGCCAACTTCACAATATAGAGTACTGGTCAAAGAACTATCGGATATTTTGATGAACGCTTTTTGCGGGATGTATTACAGTTATGCTGATTGATTACGGTACGGTAATAGGTGAACTTGCTAGCTGTTAAGTCGAATTATCTCTCAGAAAAACTAATCTGCGTCAAAATACTTTTAGCATTCTAATATATGTGGAAAAATTGGTAGAGTCTGACTTAGCTTCACCAAAATAGCCTATTTATGTCCTGCAGACTCTAAAATCTCTCTGTCGACAAAGGTAAACTGGGTGTAATTATAAGTTACCATCTTTTGCTTGGTCGCGGAGATCTTCGTGTACTCTGATCTTTTGAATCCAAGAAGATTGTTGTTTATTCTCTTCGACGCGGAAGTTCGATGGTTCGATAAGTTCATCTTTTAATTCTTTTAACTCATTCATCCACTTGCTGAGATCTCGTTCATCATAATCGTCATCGTCTCTACCTTTACGAGCTCTATTCGTTATTTTGAGAAATCTATCAGTTAGCCAGTCCTTATTTTTATCTAGCAATTTAACAAGGTCAGTCCGACATTGACCAGCCAGATGATTAATTTTGTCGATAGAATCGTTCTTCCATTTATCAACTTGCTTCAACAAACGATGAGAGTCATTTTCATTTGGCATTTCGAGCTGTTGTTTGAGCATATCATGTTCATAAACAACATTGTCGAGTTCTTTTGACAAATCTTGACGATGGCCATTGAAACATCGTCGACACAACTTTTCTAAACAGCCATCGCATGTGAGTATACCAGAATTTTTCTCACATTTTGCACATTGAGCTTTTGATGTAGCTGCCATTTAAAACTTGAATAAAATACTTCTTCTTCGATTGGAAGACAAACCCACTCTGTTTGAGTCTCGAATTAATGTTAATAATAAAAGATCTTACTTAGTGAGAGGTAACAGCACAAAACCCTAAGCTTATGTTTGTAATCAATGTAATGTATATGAAAATTTTCTGCGCCACTCGCTCGTCAGTTTAAACTGAAAAACGTGTTCTCTGTAAGTTTTTATAGTGAAAAAAGGTAACTAATTAAATAAAAGCAAAAAAGTTTTTTGTTCTTCTGCAGCGATGACGGTTGTCTTTCTAAAATAGAAGCAGCGGCACAACCATACTTTGCACACGTTTCTTTTGAAAATAATCAAAGAAGAACATAATAAAGACTTTTTTGTTTAGTTTCTTTTTTTTAGTGGTATGTAGGAGGCATGTGCAGAGACGTGCGCCACCGTGCCGGTTCGCCGTCGCCGCCGCTGAAGGTGGAGAAAATTGTTGCGACTTTCAGCGCCACCGCCATGCCGTTAAAGTATTGTTGTCGCCGAAGACGGAGAAAATTTTTTTAAATCGGACACTTTTTTTGGTTGTTTTGAGACGCTGCCTAGTAGTCCAAAGGGTTCGTTCTATATTTTCGTTATTTTCATGATATATAGTAGGACTGTAAAAGTTCCCGTTGCGTTGATTTAACGCTAACTGAAAAGATAGTTATTTAACTTTGTGGTAACTATTTTTTAAGTATGGCAGAAATATCCACGCAGCGGATGGAAATGGCTTCCACTAAGACTGTTGAAACTTTTATAAATAACATGGTTTTGTTTGGCACACACGTGCCTGTCAACTAAACTAATCGAAATTATATAATTTCAATGTTTTGTAACTGCGGTTTTAACGTCTCTGAAGACTTCAGCATCTACAACCAGCTTGAGAAATCTTTGTTGTTTTCATCAACGAAATTAGACTACAAAACCATGTCATTTATGCAAGTTTCCACAGTTTTAGTGGAAAACTAGCGTTTTTGGAAGCCATTTATAGCTGCTGCGAGGATATTTCTCCAAGACTTAAAAAACCGTTACCACAAAGTTAACTAACGGATA